GCTATAAATTTATATCTCAAGATAGACGTGTCAAAAATTTACCCAAAGTATTTCAGGATCCTCGCCGGTGCAACGGAGTTCGTGCACTGAGATTCTTAGTTAGAAGTAGAACAGAGCACTTCTGGGTTACACCCGTGTGCCATGACGCTGATCCGTTGAAAAAACTTAAACAAAGCCAAGGAGCGCAAAGTAGAATAGACCGAAGAAAAGAACAAAGTTAAGTGAATCTGATATATTGTTATAATTTAATATTTTGCTAGCTTCCTTTACTTTCCAGAATTTGTATGTTTTATTTTTGTTGAAAGATAAGGCACTGGTTGGGTTGAACGACAAACATACAGTTTTTCGTTTGTTTCTTTAGAGCAGTGGCTCTCCACCATCTAATGCCGCAACCCTTTAATACAGTTCCTCGTGCCCCCCGAATATAACATTATTTTCGTTGGTTCTTTATAACTTCAGTGAATTTGGGTTTTCCGATGGTCTTGGGCGATCCATGTAAAATGGTCGTTCGAAAGGGTTATCGACCCACAGGTTGAAACCCGCTGCTTTAGAGGCTAAACAAAGTATGGAAATTTCCCCTGTTGTTCTGCTATTAACACTAAGATTCTGTATTTTTCTTATGCTGTCAAAACTACAGTTTCTGTTGGTCTGCCATCCAGACAGATCTTCTTCTCATGTATCAACCAGGAGAGGATTAGAGACACACATGCACTCATGAAAAATCCATAGTAAATCACCCTTTATGACATCCTTGTTATTAGGCAGTGGGTTTTCTACCCCTCCCCCAACCCCCCTTTCCAGAAAAAATGGCATCCCTGGAACCCACACGGGGAATGGTTTTTATTATTTTGTTTTTCTTTTCAAATGGACTACATCATCATCATCATCACCAATTCTCTTTATACCCAGTGACACATGAGGCTTCAGAGAGGACTTTTCATGCTTTCCTGTCCTGTGCAATCTTCAGTGTATTTTTCCATGTCAAAGATTCAGGTCACTCTCCATCGTTCGGCTTCATGTGGTTTTTGGGCGCCCCTTCTTTGGCTTTCCCTCTGGTGCCCATGTGAGAGGCTTTAGCAGGTATATCAGGATTCATTATCATGACGTGGCCAAGCAGTTTCCATCTTCCTTGGTTATCTACTGTCTGGAGTTTCTTGGTTTGTGGCTTGAAGTAGTTTAGTGTTTAAGATTGCATCTGGCCAGAAAATTTTGATAATTCTACGTAGACATGTGTGGTGGAAGGTGGATAGCTTGTGTGCATCCTTTTTGGTCATACTCCATCATCCTGCCTCAACTGGACTACAGTCATAGGGAGCCGCGTTAGCGCTGTCGATAGGAGGATCGCTTTCAAATCCAGCTGCGACTCGCTGCAGCCACGATGGGTGTTCGAAACCGGGAGGTTCACGGGGTTCACCCAGCCTCTAGGAAATGGGTACCAGAGTGACACTCTGGGGTAAATGGAGGAACGTCGCTGTAGCTACAGAGTAACGTGCAGACCGTGACACAGGGGGACAGTTTCTTATCAGCTGTCCGTACTGGTGGCACTTAGGGTTTATAAATTATAACCGTGTGCAATAACGCTGGTTCACATCTTCAGACTTTACCTTTACCTTTACAGTCATTCTTATTTAGTTGCCTCCTTGTAGATTACTCCCTTCTACTTCCGTTACCAGACATTATCTATTCTCGTTTGCTTCAACTTCGCTTAAACGATTCTCGTTTCTACTTTCCTGAATAAACACCAAGACCAGGTTTTGTTTTATGATTTCTTTCTTTTATTTTCGTTTGTTATAGATGGGCTTTAAAGGCCAAATGTTGGATAATGAATGTCTTCATCTGTGTTATTTCAATGACGCCATAAATTTAATTTATAATAATAATAATATTTAATTAAAACAAACTAAACTTTATTGATCATTGAAATTCACATTGATGTAATTAGTGTAAATTAATACTAAAATACTAATTGATATTGAGTGAATTCTTGTGTCATATAGTAATTTAGTCACCGTCACTTAGGTAGATTAGAAAATAATAATAGTAAGCCCTATATGTATGTTCGGAGTTCTCTCCACTTTGGACTGCATGTTATTTCGTAACCAAGTGCCTCAATATAATACAAATATAATGTTATACATTATAAGTATAAATATAAGCTTCTTTCTACATCGACAGCCCGTTAAGCAAGGGATCACAAACTGTTTCTTGCCACAAAGCTTAACAGCAGAAGTAGAAATTGATGATGATGATACTTATATAGGCTCTCCTCCGAACTTCTACTCCTGCATTATGGCGGCCTGAAATATCCGTTCGGGGCTCAGTTCTATTAAAAATATGCCGGCTCCGTATAATGAAACAAATGCTCTAATAGGGTCTCAGCGATATGTTACTTGCGGACCTGTTTCTTATTGCTGATTGCCTGACAATTCTAAGAGACGCAACAAACCGCTGCTAAATCCTCAATCGGAAGAATAGTATTGCTAATCTGCGTAGGAGTGCGTGGTCTACCCGCCATATCACTTTCATCGTCTGTAATGTCTCGAAATTGTCAACAGTCGCTTTTATCGCCTGCTAGTATCATCTGCAGAAGCGCTCGACATTGTTACCGGTCGCCTTTATCGTCTGCTACTATCGTCTGCAATGTTGCGTCTCTTGAAATTATCAAGTTTTGCTGTGATTTGTTCCTTGGCAGAAAGTCCGCATTTTTTATTAGACTGAGCCCCGAATGGATATTTCAGGCCGGGGGTAGAAGTTCTGAGGAGAGCCCTTATATAGTTATTATACAGGTTAAATCCCCATTAAGCTGGTTTCTGTAATCTCTTGTTTGCTCTCATTCTTGAGGTGTTAATCGCACCGACAGCGTTCCTGCATGGAGACTTGGGGTGCTTTCCTAATATCCTACCCCAAACAGGGAAAATCCACAGGTCATGGGACAGTCTAATATTTCAGGATGTGGTAGATATGTTGCATACAGTCGTGGGACCTAGGCTTTTGCACTCATGGGACTTAGGCTGCACTCTCTCGTAAGACATAGGTGGGTTGGGGTTGGGGCTAGTTCCTAGATGTTTTGGGGTCATTAAAAGCATATCAGAAAACTGGGAAACCCAGTCTTACCAGCCTCTAAAATGTAGAACTTGCATGTGACGTCATCTGGGGTAGGATTTCATGAAAGAACCAAACACTGACCACCCATATGTTAAATATTTAAAGTACAGGATCCCTTTTTTTCCCACTGGTGCATCTGGCATATGGTGCTGAAATATGCCTCCATTGATTTGAACTCAAGACCTTCAGGCTAGCAACTGAATGTCTAGCTACTACACTACATTATGCTCCCAGTATGACTTAAATTATTTTTTTTTATCAGCTGCCTCATTACAAAACACTTTTACTTTTTCTAGCTGAAACATTTATTTGAAACAAATAACAGATACATAAGGATTTTAGATATGATAATCCTTTTAAACATGTGCTTTTTTTAACTGTGAACTTTCGATCAGCATGCCTCTGACTGGTGGTAAGAGACATTTTTTAATGTAACTGATCAGCCACCACCTGCCTTAACTGGGTAGTTTTCAGCCAGTAAAGTATTGAACCAACATTTCCTGTGTGCTTCAATGGAAGCTTGGAGCCAGAGCAAAATCAGAATTGCTGGCTGCAAAAACCAATACAGCACAAAGACATTTTTAACAAAAGCCAACCTTACTGGTTACACTCACCATTATGTTTGGTTGTAATTCCGAAGTCTGCCTGTCGCACAATGTAATACTTCTTCTAGAACAGTGGTTTTCAACCTGTTTAGGGTGGCGCCCCAATAATTTATGGTAAGGACCTCCCCCAAACCCCTTGACCTTAAAAAAAAAAACGGATAGAAGGAGGTCAAACAGAAAAATCACCAGCATTTGATTAAGTCTATTATGGAGAAAAAATCCACATAAATCAAAGTGTCAGATAATGTAATGTCCTTGGCTTTTCGTTGTTATATTTTTATAAAAATTGTTTTAATAAAAAATTAAATGCAAGAAAAAGAATACTATAATGGTTTATTACAAGTACAAATGAACTGTTTCAAAATTGCTTGACACCCCCCCCCCCCCCTCCCCCACGGTGAGAGGGGGAGGGGATAGCTCGCAGGTTTAAATCCGCTGATCTAGAAAAACAAAGAGGCGTAACAATAATGTCTCATAGTTTTGGTTACATGACCCCATTTAGGATGGGACAAAGAATGGACCTACTGCTTTTTTAACAAGCATGATGGGAGCTATGTAACCAACATTGTGCATACAGAGACAGTAAGCCAGATCTGTAAACTGGATGTACATGTGAATCTCAAGTTCTGGAACATGCTGAAAATCCAGAAGTGGACAAACAACCAGCTTTTTCCACCTGCATTTTTAGCCCAACCCTGAGAAGAAGAGGAGAAGACATTATTGGCACCTTTCCCTCATTCAAAACGGTCTTAATTTGTGCTATTGGGAGGCATGGAAATAACTTAACCACCTGTTAAGGCTAGGTGTGATGTTACTTCTCATAGCACAAAGCCAGGGCAATGTTGTAGAGATCATGTGTTTCTGAAAGTCCTTATCTCGGCTTGCTTTAACTATAGAGGAAAAATAACACCAAAATGTTTATAACAAAGCATGCTAGAAAATCTACTGGATAAGAATAGTAGTGCTGTGCCTGTTTGGCTGTCGGAGCTTCTCTTGTAGACCTGCTGCCTACCATGGCTAATGGCTTGTTCTTCGCTGCCAGAACATGGCGTTTTTTGGGTTGCATTTCCTTGTCTTAGAATAATGCTGGCGTCTTCCATAATGTACTTTTCTGCCTGAAGCCATTGGCACAAGTGGGAAGTCAGGTTGGGTTTGACATCGCCAGTGTCTCATATACATAACATTTAATGAGCTCATTTGTCAAAAATATAACGACACAAAATTTATATATTTTTTTCATTCTTCTAATACAAACAAAACAGAAAGACATGTAACAATACAAGCCAAGAAATGAGTGTTGGTTGGATAAAACAAGCCAAGTTGAGGCCTCAGTCTAGGCTGGACAACAACTGGCTGAAAACAGATATTCAGGTATATTCTTTTGTTGTGCTTTATTTATGCTTTTATTTGTCTGTCTCATTGTTTGAATTATTGCTTTCATTCTTGCAGTTTTTCTGCCTCACTTTTTAAATGTTTTAAATTTCTTTTTTTTCTTCTGATTACTCTGTTCTGGGATCAAAATTGAAAATAAGCTACAAAGATACAAGCAAAATAAAATAATTCCTGGGCCGGTAAGATTATATATAGGACTGTCTGTGACATACTACTACTATTGAACTCATAACATTATGGAGTTTACAGACTGCAAAAACACTACTATAGATCTTAACATTACAAACTGGTCAGTTGGTAACTTTAATGTTATTGACCTGTTAAAATTACAGAGTAGACAGTACTTACATAAAAGAATATGGACTGCAGAGGAAGACTTCATTAGGAACCATTTGTGAATCTGCCCCTTCCCCCCCTTTTTTTTTCTTTCTCTTTTTTAAAACTGGGCCTCAGAACCAGTACAGGGAATGAGCTTCATGAAAAATCATACTAGGCCTTATTTTTGATCATTTCTTATTTTCAGTGAAACCTGGTGCATAAACTTTGGATTGAAAGGGAAGAGGGCAGCAATTTTACTTAACCACACCTTTTTGTGTCTTATTTGAGGTTGTTGTTTCCCTTTGGTACTGACTGGGATTGTTGTTTGAATGGCACGTTTCCTTTTTTTTTTACTTTCTAATATGAGCCCTTTCTATATAGTCTTTTGCATTGAGGGTCACTATTGGCACTTGTCACTCACGTGAGTTGTGGACCATTTGTGTGCCTCATTTGAGTTGTAGATCATTCGTGTGCCTCGTCACTTGATCATTTGTGTGCCTAATCAATTGAGTTGTGGACCATTTGTGTACCTCGTCATTTGAATTACGCACCATTTGTGTACCTCATCACTTGAGTTGTAGACAAGTTGTTTGCATAATCACTTTAATTATGGACTATTTGTGTTCCTAATCACTTGAGTTGTGGACCATTTATGTACCTCATCTTAAGCTATCGACCATTTGTGTGCCACATCATTTGATTTATGGACCATTTGTGTGCCTCACCATTTGATTTATGGGCCATTTGTGTGCCTCATCATTTGATTTATGGACCATTTGTGTGCCTCATCATTTATGCTAGGGGACCATTTTGCACGTTATCACTTGAGTTTAACGGGCTACTTTTATGCTCCTTTGCTTCAGTTTTGGGCCAGGTTTGACTATTTGCTTAAATGCTTGTGAAATCTTACATTATCACTCAGGTTGTGGGGTGCTAATTGTGTAACAGGTCACCCAGGGCATTTAGCATTGATTGTGATGTATTTGGTCTGGTGGAAAGATCTGCTTATCATTCACTGGCTGCTGTCGTCAGCTAAAAGTTCTGACTGTTTATACTGTTTATATACTTCTGGACTTTGGTCTTATTTCAGGACTTGAGTTTTGCATGCACATCTGTTTTACAGATATGGCTTATTAGTATACAGACCATTGGTCGCCTTTTATGCCATACATGAGGGAAGGGGGGGGGGGGGGTGCAGCATTGGATTTTTTCTGTTTGCCAAAAAAATTGGTCCTGAACCCCATTTAGGGCTACTGGGTAGATGACATAAGTCCCTGGCAAGGCTAACTGCACTTCCTGTCCGTCTTTGTTACTGCATCATCCCACACTGTTTGCATTTCAACTATACTGTTTCCTACTTTCTCTCTATCACTCCCTCTCCTCTCTCAGACACTTCCTCTTTAACACTGCTTCATCCCACAATGTCTCCATTCTCACTCTATTCTCACTCTCCTACTTTCTCATTATCACTCCCTCTCTTGACTCAGTTCCACACTTTATTCTTGGTCTTCTACTTTCTTACTCTCTCCCTCTCCTCTCTCAAGCACTTCCTCTCTGTCACTGCTTCATCCCACACTGTCTTCATCCCACACTGTCTTCATCCCACACTGTCTTCATCCCACACAGTTTCCATGCCCACTCTGTTCTCAGTGACCTGCTTTCTCTCTCTCTCTCTCTGTCACTCCCTCCCCTCTCTCAAACAGTCCCTTTCTGGGAATGCCTTACATCACACCATCTTTATTTACTGCCTCTACTGTTTTATATTTACTGTCACTGTCTCTTCTATTTCACAAGAAATGGAGATTAAGAACATTATGAAAATAGGGACATTTTGAATGAGGTAGCGGCGGAGCGTGTATGTAAGGGAAAATAGAAACAGGGAGGTTGTGTGTGTGTGTGTGTGTGTGTGCATGTGAGAAAGTATGGAGTGATAAGGGAGTTGGAAAGTGAAGAAAGAAAGCAGGAGTGACTGTTAGAGAAAGACATAGAATGTAGATGGTTGGGAGATATTATTAGACGAGCATGAAAAAAAAAGCCATCAGGGAGTACGTGTAAGAGAAAGCGGAAAGTGATAGTGGAGTAAATTTTGGGGAATAAACAAAGGAGAGAATGCAAGAGTGTCTCTAAGAGAGAGAGAGAGACTATAGAGCATTGTCAGAAAAATAAGTTTAGCAAGCAAGGAACCATAATCAAGAAGAGAAGACCCTAGAAAAGACTATTATAATTTCACACTGCAGAATGGTAGATGAAAAGGGACAAATGAAACCTTAAAGTGTCACTGCAGGGTAGAAAAGTACAGGAGAAGATCAGTTCGAAAAATACATCTACACCAGGGGTGGGCAAACTATGGCCTGCTGACCAAAACTAGCCTGAGGAGCGGTTGTTACTGGTCAGTGGCGGGGCTGGTGTAATATTACCAAATAATATAGCTCTTGAGCTGACAAAATGGTTACATGACGTTGCAGAACCAACCCCAACAGCCCCTGTCACATTACATGACGTTGCAGAATCTTAACAGCCACTGGCTGTTGTGCTGTTTTTCTAGGCAAATTTACGTCCAGTAGTTGCTGACAAAATAGCATAACAAATAACCAGCTTGAACAGACACAAATAGAGTGGTTTGGCCACTTGATGCGAATGCAAACCGACCAACTGCCTCTACGAGCATACAACAAACAGCACTACTGCCCTAGAGCAAGAGGCAGACCGAGAGTACGATGGATAGACTAACAACAACACGAGCAACACACCTGGCCCAGGATAGAAAACTGCAACTCCCCACTACGCTGTGAGGCAATTGTGGACAAGACAAGACAGATACATTTATTAATATATAGAAGCGCTTTAAATGGGAAGTGTGTCTGGCCAGACGCGCAGTGAGGGATTATCCCACAGAAATATCGTTTCATGAGCAAACCTTGATGTTTATGTGTTTATAATGGATTTGTGTCCTATAATGCCCGCGACCAGGTTGGTAAAGTACCATACGAGAAGAAAGTACATCTACACTGACGAGTAGCAAAGGGAATACCAAACAAGTCTGTAAGTTACCTCTGTACTTCAGCAGTAGACAAGGATTGATCACACAGTACTGTGTGTCAGAGGCGCCTGAATAATTATTATTGAGAGCAGCGAATAGGGCAATTTTGCAAGGGGGGGGGGGGGGGGCTATATGGTACTTTCCCAGCCTTATACAAAAGAGACAGACAGAAGTCTTTGCTCAATTATTTGTGCTATTTTATTTAGCATATCATAATTATAATAACGCACCTAACCCCTCGAGGCAGCCATTTTCCGCAACTTTCCAGAACATTTCTTAGAGGAATGAAGCTTCCCTTCCCACTATCCAGAACCTTTGTAAGCGGAATGAAGCTTCCCTTCCCACTATCCAGAACCTTTGTAAGCGGAATGAAGCTTCCCTTCCCACTATCCAGAACCTTTGTAAGCGGAATGAAGCTTCCCTTCCCACTATCCAGAACCTTTGTAAGCGGAATGAAGCTTCCCTTCCCACTATCCAGAACCTTTTGTAAGCGGAATGAAGCTTCCCTTCCCACTATCCAGAACCTTTGTAAGCGGAATGAAGCTTCCCTTCCCACTATCAAGAACCTTTGTAAGCGGAATGAAGCTTTGTATCCAGAACCTTTGTAAGCGGAATGAAGCTTCCCTTCCACTATCCAGAACCTTTGTAACGGAATGAAGCTTCCCTTCCCACTATCCAGAACCTTTGTAAGCGGAATGAAGCTTCCCTTCCCACTATCCAGAACCTTTGTAAGCGGAATGAAGCTTCCCTTCCCACTATCCAGAACCTTTGTAAGCGGAATGAAGCTTCCCTTCCCACTATCCAGAACCTTTGTAAGCGGAATGAAGCTTCCCTTCCCACTATCCAGAACCTTTGTAAGCGGAATGAAGCTTCCCTTCCCACTATCCAGAACCTTTGTAAGCGGAAGCTTCCCTTCCCACTATCCAGAACCTTTGTAAGCGGAATGAAAGCTTCCCTTCCCCTTTGTAAGCGGAATGAAGCTTCCTTCCCACTATCCAGAATTTCCCTTCCCACTATCCAGAACCTTTGTAAGCGGAATGAAGCTTCCCTTCCCACCTTCCCACCTATCGGAATGAACCTTTGTAAGCGGAATGAAGCTTCCCTTCCCACTATCCAGAACCTTTGTAAGCGGAATGAAGCTTCCCTTCCCACTATCCAGAACCTTTGTAAGCGGAATGAAGCTTCCCTTCCCACTATCCAGAACCTTTGTAAGCGGAATGAAGCTTCCCTTCCCACTATCCAGAACCTTTGTAAGCGGAATGAAGCTTCCCTTCCCACTATCCAGAACCTTTGTAAGCGGAATGAAGCTTCCCTTCCCCCACTATCCAGAACCTTTGTAAGCGGAATGAAGCTTCCCTTCCCACTATCCAGAACCTTTGTAAGCGGAATGAAGCTTCCCTTCCCACTATCCAGAACCTTTGTAAGCGGAATGAAGCTTCCCTTCCCACTATCCAGAACCTTTGTAAGCGGAATGAAGCTTCCCTTCCCACTATCCAGAACCTTTGTAAGCGGAATGAAGCTTCCCTTCCCACTATCCAGAACCTTTGTAAGCGGAATGAAGCTTCCCTTCCCACTATCCAGAACCTTTGTAAGCGGAATGAGCTCCCACTTTCCAGAACCT